TTCTCTTCACCCAAATCCATACTTATCTCTATCTATCTAACAGCGTTCCCTCCTCTCCCCTCCCACTCCTGGTAACCAACAAAGAAAATGTCCTTCTATAGATAAACCTTTCCTTAACTTTTACAATAATGGACTAATACAATATTTGTCCTTTTGTGATTGACTTGTTTCACTCAGCATAATGTCCTCCAAGTTCATCCACGTTATGCTGTGTTTTGCAGATTCTACATTATTCTTTATGTCAGCATAAAGATTTATACACAAATGTTCATAGCAGTTTTATTTGTAATAGTTTAAACCAGGAAACAACTCAAATTTTCATCAACAGGTGAAAGGGTAAACAATTTTTGGCAATCCATACAATGGAATAAACCAAATTTACTACCATCAAGTCAATTCTGACTCACAGCGACCCCCATTGAGTTTCCAAGGCTGTAGATCTTTATAGAAGCAGACTGCTTCATCGTTCTTCCATGGAGCAGCTGGGTGTTTGAACCACTGACATTTTGGTTAGCAGCCAAATGCCTTAACCACTACACCACCAGAGCATCACATAAAATAGAATACTACTCAACAATTAAAAAAGGGAAAAGACTACTGATACAATTAACAACATGGATAATTTTCAACAGAATTTGGCTGAGTGAAAGAAGCCAAACAAAAAAGTACTACCTGTTGGATGATTCCACATATATAATTATAGAAATGAATCTATAGTGACATAAAGAAGATTAGTGATTGCCTGAATGATTGTTCTTAATGGTCAAAGGGGGAATTGGTAACCAAAGGGACATGAGGAATCTTTTGGTGGGTTTATTAATTTGATGGTAGCGATGCCTTCTAAGTATACATGTATATATACATGCGGCAAAATTTATCAAATGGTACATTTTAGATATAGGCATGTGTATACATGTGTCAAAATTGACTGAATGGTACACTTTAGATAAATGAAGTTTACTGTATATAAATCATACCTCAATAAAGTATAAAAATAAGTAGGTTAAGTACTATTTTAAAGTTTCAACTCTTATTACTTCCGTTGTTGTTAGTTGCTGCTTTGTGGCCTCCAACTCATGGAAACCTTATGTCTAACAGAACAGAATGTTGCTGGGGCCTGCTCCATCCTCATGATTGCTAATACTTTTGAATCTATTGTTTTGGCTAGTGTATCAATCTATCTCATTGAGGCTTTCCCACATTTTCACTGATTTTACCAAACACTATGTCCTTTTCTACCTGATGGTGTTTTCTGATGATTTGGCCAAAGTCAACAAGACAAGGTCAGGCCAGGCCATCCTCACTTTTAAGAAACATTCTGGTTTTATTTCTTCTATGAGTGATCTGTTCACTTGTCTGGCAGTCTACAGTATATTCTTCACCAACAGCACAGTTCCAATGCATCGATTCCTCCTCTGGCTTCTTTGTTATTGTTCAACTCCTGTATGCATTTGAGGTGAGTGAAAAGGCCATGGCTTGGGTTGGGGCACACCAACTCATCATACATCTTTGATTTGCTTTTAAAATCTTTAAAGAGGTCTTTTGCAGCAGATTTGCCTAATGCAGTATGTTGATTGATGTTTTGAGTGCTGCCTCCATGGATGTTGATTAATACAAGCACAATGAAATAATTTATAACTTAAATTTCTTCATTTATCATGATGTATTTATCAATTCAGTATGAGGATTCTATAAAATTAATGGTTGGTTACCTAAAAAAAAATGCATCTATGTTGTTCTTCTCAAATATTTTGGGGTAACATAATAGAAATGTCTAGGGTTTTAGGACACTTCCAAATAGTAATAAAACCAAAAAAACCAAACTCACGATAGTGGAGTCTAACCAACTCATAGAGACCACTCCTTGAGATTCTGCCACCAGCCACTCCTCGGAAGGAAGATGGGGCAATCTACTTCCGTAGTGATACTGCCTCGGAAACCCAAGGAGGGGTCGCTATGAGTTGGGTCTGACTCGGAGGCACATACAACAACAACAATCACTACGGAAGTAGATCGCCCAACCTTTCTTGCAAGGTGGCTGGTGGGTTTTAACCGCCAGCCTTTTGGTTAGCAGTCAAATGCCTTAGGCACTATGCTAAATAGTAATAAACTAAAGCTTAATCTGTATTAGGGAGATATGAATTCAGAGAACCTCTGAATTTAGGGAGTGATAAGTGGTGGGTAGAGAGATGAGAAAAGGAAACCAGTAATGAAACACGGAAGTACATTCAGAAAGACCGCACCTACACATCCTTACCCGAAACTATATATTCTGTAGGCAGCCGGCGTCAGTGGATTAAAATGTTACAGTGTAAACCAGGAAAACGGTTCTTCCCTGAGTTAGCTCTGCCAGCTGGTAACTCTGTGCTTGGCGCATTAAATCAAAACAGAGACCCGCCCCCTTTTCACCCTCCTCCTTTGCGCTGCTCAACGTCCTGCCGCCCCCTTGTGGCGAGCGCTCTGGGACCCCCAGGCGCACGGGTTTGGTGGAAAGAAAGGTGTTGGCACACCTTTGTCTGCGATGTAGGAGTGCCCAGGGCACCCCCAGATGCTTTTGCCGTTTTTGCCTCCAGGTACCAATCCCACTGCTCTGGGATCCAGCTTTTAAACGCGGCGCGTACTTGGGGATCCTCTCTGCTTCTGTCCGTCCAGTTTCAGGTCTTTCTGGTTGCAGTCGGGGTGAGGGAGCCGCGGTATCTAGTTTTCATCCCCTGGTTTCAGTGCACGACTAACATCAATTTAGAAGCATGGGAACCCGCGCTCTGAAGAACAGAGGTGAGAGGGAATCCAGAAGAACGCCCTGAAATTCTAAATAGTTTCTCTTTCTCTTCCCCCCCAGAATTCATTCCTACTTTTCCCAGATACAGATTTGCCTCTTTTCCGACGCGTACTGAAGGTTGGAGATCTCCCCGGTGTCCCATCGTCCCCACCCCTCAAGTGGCCGACAAGCAGACCAGAAACTGGGTGTGGGCTTACCTGCCCGAGGGCACAGTGGGAGGGACTCCCGTGGGTTCCGAAGGTGAAGTGAGGACTTATGTGAGGTGGGGAAGAATAGATTTATAATGGGGAGTTAGGGATGGGCAGAGGTGCCCCCACTTCCAGCTTCCAACCGAGGCGAAGAAACTGCTTGCCATTCCTGGCCATACCTGATTGACAGGAGGAAGGAGAAGCGGCCCAAAGAGAGATGGGGGGTGTGTGTGGAGGCGGAGACAAAACCCAAACCGCACAGAAAGCCCGCGAGGACTTGCTCTACTGGACGGTAGGGGTGGGGTCTGGCGCCACCTAGCAGGTCGGGCTGTCTGGTGGGTTTGCTGAGCTTGACACCCTGAGCCAGGAGAGGAGTGCTGGGTGTTCCCGCCTCGGCAGCAGTCTGCAAGGAGGGGGCGGGAAGCCAGGAGCCCCGCGCGACTCTTCCCTGGCAGCTTCAGCCTCACCCGGGACTGGTTCGCGGTTCCCTCGAGGCTCTGCGCTGAGGGCCGCCTTCTCCCCTCCCTCCCCTCCCTCTAGTGCACTGCCTCCGCCTTCTTCCTCTGCCTCCACCCTCACCCCCATCCCCGTCTGTCCTGAGCTAGGCTCGGATCCCTCAGTTCGCCCAAGATCCGGATGTGGGCGCCGGACAAGTTCAACGCGCCGCCACTCAAGATGGACAGTCGTTACACCAGCACTGCGGGAATCGGAGACTTGAACCAGCTGAGCGCGGCCATCCCGGCCACGCGGGTGGAGGTGTCGGTATCCTGCAGGTGAGGACACAGCTTTTCCCCTCCATCCTCCTACTCTCTTATCCGCCCGGAGAGTGGCACTTGGCAAACGCTAGGGGTACCCCCAGGGTTTGCGAGGGAGAGAAGTTGGCACGGAATGGGGAACACCCCAGTTGTGGGCCTGGATTCACAGCTGGCTTGAGTGTCAGAGAGGGGGAGAGGTACTACAAGCGAGTGGTGGGCTCCGGGACTTTTTCTTTTCTTTCTGGTAAATGCTGTAAAAGTTGACTAGGCTGTGACTCAGCTGCGGGAACCCCGGCCGCCGCCCGGTTTGCAAGACCTTTTTACTTCCCAAACCCGAGCTGGGTGGCCGGGTGATGACGGGAAACGAAGGGGAGAGCATTGCCAAAAGCGGTTGTGACCGCTGCACGCAGTGCCCCGGGACTTCTGCTAGGTGTGTGCAAATGTGCTATTGCCACGGTTGGCTCAAATCTCAGCTGCTTCCTCCCCACCCACTTCCTGGAGCCATCCAGCTGCTTTCCTCCCTACCCTTCCGGGCTGTTTTTTGCTTTCTGCCTGAGTGGTAGGGATTTTGGCTTCAGCCCTCCTTGCAGAAGACTCTGCCTTTCCTAAAATCCGGGAAGTCACGACTTTCTGCCTGCGGGTAAATACGTTTGAGTACGTACTTGTAACTATCCACACCCTACCCAAGGACTAAATTTCCAGCTCCTTTTCCTGACGTTATCTGGGTCACTTTCCTACTCTGTATAAATAAAAGAGTAATTGTTACATTGACTAAGATTTTGAAGAGACAGGTGGAGTACACTAAATTATTGATAACGGTAACAAAAGGAAGGAGAGGCAGAATTTGCGAATTGCATTGGTTCAGGAGTGAACTTCTCTGGCAGCCCACCCTTTGTTTGTTTGCTCTGATTTCTCTTAGTGGGAAAAACTCTCCTTGCTTATACGTGTCCGCCCCAAGACATTTTTATACCCTCAAATCCTCTTGTTACTTCCCTTAGCAAAACTTGTCTCAAATCTGTTAAAATGGGTAATTGTTGATGTAAATAAGACCTGGAGCTTAACTACCGACCCAATGGTATTTGAGGAGCTCTGCTGGCGCAGTGCCTAAGGCATTTATTTGACTGCTAACCAGAAGTTTGGGAGTTCAAACCCACCAGCTGCTCCGTGGAAGTAAGATAGGGCAATCTACTTCCATAAAGATTTACTGCCTGGGTAACCTAATGGAGGCCACTATGAATCAGAATTGATTGATATCAGTGGGTTTGGTTTGGTTTTGGTTTTCAGTGGTATTTGATTTGCATTTCCACAAGATTATGCCTCAAGCCAAAGGAATACATTTCTTTTCTGTGGAAATTCAAGCACTAGCAACCTCAATAAAGGTGTTATTTGCTGAGAGAGTCAGCTTTAGCTATCACTGAAACTGTATCACTGGAGCACTTGCTTCCTCTTAAGGCTGACCTCAGACATGGAAATAATAATGTTGATTATAATAGCTGACATTAAGCTCTCTTGCCTTATTGCAGGCCCTGCTTTAAGTGCTGCCTGAGCTCTCTGTCAATTGAGTAGGTTAAACTGTATAATGTCCAACTTTCTGGACATTAATATTTAGGCCTTCCCTCACGCCACCCCACTCCACCTAAAAACTAACTTTGGATGTTAGAGGGAGTTTATTTATATAACAGGTAACATATAGCCTTAAGTCCTATAGTAACAGTATTTTTTAGAGTTGTTATATCCTCTGCTGAACATCCTGCAAAGTCTGAATGGCATGTGGCCTATACCTGGAATGAATATAAAAGAATGTTGCAAATTAAATCTGAAGTTGCCATTAACTTCTCCAGGGATGATGAAGAAATCACCCTTTAGCTGGTCTTTAGGGCCCACCTTTATTTATTTATTTGATGCTTTTTTGCTTTGGGTATGATAGGATCCCCAAGTTAATTGACTTAAATCTATTTGTTTCAGACCCTAGAGATTCCTTATTCCAGCCTTTTTTCATACTGTTGTTTTTGTGTTTTGTCTGTAATTTTTTTCAAATTGAAAACACATTTGGAAGAGAACTCCCCAAAAAAGTTCTAGCGCCCAACATATCTGCTGTATCATTAGAATTTGGTGTGAAGTTTAATTCAGAATTGCTCCGGAATCAGTTTACCATGTATTCTTTGGTAAATTTGATGTAAAAATGTCATTTGGGCAAACAAATAAAATTGAATTCCCAAGTTAGTGCCTCTGAAATAGGTTCAGTGTTTTTTGAAAAGGTGGGTTAATTTAAATTTTGTGTGGTTGAAAATTGAATCTTATAACCAAAGGAGGTAGTGTAGTTGAGATTTGACATCAGAGACCTAGGCACACAATCTAGCTTCATGACTTATTCTTGTTACCTTGAAGCAAATTCTTACTTAATCTCTCCAAGCCTCCTTATCTCTAAAATAAGGATAATTATGGTGTTAGATGTAGAATTTTATCAGGGTTTAATAAAAAGATGTGTGAAAAGTGCTTATGCAATGCATGACACTAAAGAAAGTGCTCAAAAATGTTAGCTATTATAATAAAGATAAAGAACACTGGTGGCTTAGAGGTTAACTGCCAAAAGGTTGGCAGTTCAAACCCACCAGCTGCTCCATGGGAGAAAAGTGAGGCAGTCTGTTTCTGTAAAGATTTACAGCCTTGGAAACCCTATGGGGCAGTTCTACTCTGTCTTAGAGGGTCTCTATGAGTCCAAATGGACTTGATGGCAGTGGGTTTGGTTTTACTATTATTACATTGTAAATAATATTTATTGAATAAATGTATCATATATGATTCTATTATGGAATTCTATACATACTCTGTGTCTTAAGCACTTCAGTAAATTGGTTGAAGAAGACAAGGATAGAATTAGCCTTTGGATCCCTGATCCCTTATTTCTTCTTCAGTGTGCGTCAACAGTGTATTTCCTAGGATGTTTTTGGGGATTTCACTTAGCAAGAAGGCACGATTATAGGCCCCTCAGCCTTACTGCTGACACAAGCAGAGCCAGAAATCCCCTTATCTATATCAAATAGCTCTGATGACTTTTGGATACTTAAAAAGCACATCAGAAGGCTAGGATTCCTTTTGATAACCTCCTTTTACTGTCCCAGTCTGAACTTTTTTTTTTTTTTAAGCTTGTATTTTTATCTTCATTCTGGGGAAGGTGAGAAAAACCAATAATTGAAGCTTCATGCTAAATACAATTCTTGGAAATCATTTAGTCTGTTTACTCTCCAAGTGTTTGGGTATCTTTTATATGTCTAACATTATACCATATTACATGAGAAATGCAAAAGAATTCTCTTCTCTGGACATGTAAAATCTGGATGGGAGATAACTATTACATAATACACAGAAAGGAGGGACTAAATGCAGAGGTGAGACTCTTGCATAGGGAGGGAATAGATCATTGTGGAAGAGAGTGCTCTGGGAATATACTACAAAGAGATGAGGCTTGAGAGAAGAAGGAATAATACAATTGGAATTTTCATAGGGTGTATGTGTTAGGGATTGAATCATATTGCCCCCTAAAATCTGTAATTCTTAACCTCTGTGATTGTGGTTATAACTCCATTTGGGAATGGGTTGTCTTTAGGTTAATGAGGCAGAATTAGTGTAGGGTGTATCTGAGACAGTCTCTTTAGAGATGTAAAAAAAGGTTAAACTAGCAACCAGAGGAGAGATGGGTAAGATAGGTATCAAGATACAAGGAGATCTCCTAGGAACAAGGAGGCAGAATCTGAAGCTCGAGCAACAAAGACCTTCTTTCAGAATCAACAGAGAGAGAAAGCCTTCCTCTAGATCTGGTGTTCGGAATTCAGGCGGGTAGCCTTTCAAGCTGTGAGAAAATAAATTGGTTTGTTAAAGCCATCCCCATGTGCTATTCCTGTTATAGTAGCTTTAGATAACTAAGAATTTGGTACTGGAAGAGTGACTACTTGCAGTCATGAAAGCCTCTTAACTATAACCAGACATCTCCCAGGATTGAGATACTGGGTTTGAGAGCTAGGAATCATAGGCAACAAGTAGGTCAGTTGGTATGACATATCATAAAGACAGTGTTCTATATCCTACTTTAGTGAGTAGCGACTGGGACCTTAAATGTGAGCAGCCACCCAAGTTACAACTATTGATCTGTTTCCATCTGGAGCAAAACAAGAGTGGAGAAAACCAAAGACCCAAGAAAATGCAATTAGTGCAAAGGACCAATGAATCATAAGAACTACAGCCTCCACTCACATGAGACCAGAACTAGATGGTGTCTAGCTACCACCACCCACTACTCTGACTTGTATCACAATAGGCTGTACCAGTTACAGGGAGAGAAAAAGAGGAACCAAATTCAAATTCATAAAAAAAGACCAGACCTAGTGATCTGATGGATCATTGGTGGAACCTCTAAGAGTATGCCCCTTAGACATTCTTAGAACTGAAACTACTTCCAGAGAGAATCTTTCAGCCACATAAAAGACAAGTCTATAAAGTGAACAGTAACATCTGGGAGGAACATGCTTCTCAGAATAATCAAAAGACCAAAACCACAACATTTGCCCAAGAGCAAATTTAAGAAGACAGGAAGGAACAGGAAAACTGGGTGAATGAGAATGCAGAAGCTAAGGTGAAAATGAGAGTGTTGACACATTGTAGGGATTGCAACCAGTGCCATGGAATGCTCTGTGTATAAATTGCTGAATGGGAAACTAATTTGCTTTGTAAACTTTCACCTAAACCACAATAAAATATTTTGAAAAACAAGAAAAAAACAGGAGTGAGATGCTGCTCTATCAGATACCTAAAATGCGGAGGGAATTTTGGAATTGGTTAATGGGTAAAGGCTGAAAGAGTATTAAGATGCCTGATAGTAAAAGCCTAGATAGCCTTGGAGAGACTCTTGGTAGAATGCTGGACATCAGAGCCAATTAGGTGAGAGCTCAGAAGGAAGTGAGGAGAGCTATAGAGAAATTCTCTGTTGTCTTAGAGAATACATATGGTGTCAACAACAGAAT